ATATATATATATACATGTATATATAACAATAATATAACATTTCCTAAATTTTAAAAAATGTAAAAATATTTTAATATTTTTCCAAATATTTTATAAATACGGCACAAAACGTCGAAAAGTAATTAAATGTTCAAATGTGAATGTTTTTTTTTAATGTTAAATATTAATTTTTCCGTATTGATTGTTAATGTTGCTATCACGTTGCAACAATATTAAACAAATTAACATTAAAGTCGATCTGGAACAATACCGCTACTAGATGAACGCAGCAGAATAATATTTCTTTAAAAAAAGTTATATAGAATGGAATAAAAGACGCAGTATTATACGATTTCTTTAACTATATAAAACAAAAGTATTTTTAAGTGAGGAGCCCCTAAGACTCCAAAATGAAAGTAAGTGAAATATACTTAGAACATACCGTTTAGTTTTGTACAAAAAGTAATTCAGATACCTAATATAATATTCTTGAAAGTTTATATGATACTGAATAAATGTTGAATCAACATTCCTGAATATTATATTGCAACATCTGCAAGAGATTACTTCAAAGGACCGTTTTTGCAATATTTTTTCGATGTTAAATCTACATGGCGCAATGTATAATTCAATTTAAAATATTGATTCAATATTAGCACAACATTTGTAACGATATTTTTTACATTAAAATATCAATATTATCGAAATCTTCAAATCAAAATCTGTTCATAAAGATGCCTCTACATAATTCGCAAATCGCAAAACATAGTTCACAAACGCAGAATGAAAATTTATTTTTGTTTTCTCATTGTGTGCGGTTGATTTCATCTGCATGTATCTTGCGTGTGGTGATCATGATAGCGTCAGGATACTACCATATCTTCAGATTCTACGTATTTGCGAATTATGTTTTGCAATTTGAAAATTATATAGAGACACCTTAATGATGTTACTTACAATGTTAAATACACTCGTCAATAAAATTATCGCAACATAAATTTATACCAAAATTTTATATAATTTTAAGTAAATATAAAAAGTCGTATTTAAAAAAGTAAAGCTGTATTATATCTCCAAAAAAATTGTTTGACGCACTCTATGAGATACAAAAAATTTTTTTCGTAAATGTAAAGGACTCATCATATGTAAAGGAACTTTTTCTAGCTAATTGAAAAAATAAAACTTTGTACGATTCTTTTATTATTATTACGGAGTATTTATAATAGTATTTATAATTAAATTAAGCCTATTCTACAATTGTATAAGTTATAAGTGAGTGTAGTTATAAGTGATTGTAGCTATAAAAATTCACTAATTACAGCCAAAGAAAAGAATATTTGACTGTGATTGGTCAATTCTTACAACTACAATTATTATTACAATTAGTAGGATAGGCTTTATCTATTCACCCTATGCATTTTTGTTCAATTATCTTCAACATCCGCAACCAATGCGCACCAAAAAGATGTTGCTGCTCGGATTTGCGCATCATACACATATGTGCGTATGTATGTATGTATGAGTGTGTATGTATGTGTTGAGGCTGACACATGGATACCAGGATGAAATATGAAACCGGAATTTTTTTATAGAAAATATATGTTTATTGCATGAAAATGATAAAAAATATTTTATTCGAAGTATTGCCCATCGATAGCTATACAATTTCTCCACCTGTTTGACAATTTGTGGATGCCACGCCAAAAAAATTGTTGCTCTTTTGAGTCAAACCAGTCATCTAGCCATTTTCGTACATCTTCGTAAGAAGTGAAGCGCTGCTGAGCAAGTGCGTGTCCCATCGATGCAAATAAGTGGTAATCGGATGGAGCCAAGTTTGGTGAGTAAGCCATATGCAAAAGTATTTCCCAACCAAATGCCTCAATCGTTTCCTTGATCAGTTTTGCTGTGTGATGGTGAATTATCATGAAGCAAAATCACTTTGTGTTGCCTTTTTTGATATTCCGGTCGTTTTTCACACAAAGCTTGATTCAAATTGATCATTTGTTGTCGGCGTTCAGTATTAACGGTTTCGCCAGATTTTAGTAACTCATAATAATCACACCTTTCTGATCCCAAACACAGAGCATTGTCTTCCGTCCATAGCGATTTGGCGTTGCAGTCGATGTCGATAGTTCGCCTGGAGTTACCCATGATCTTTTACGCTTAGAATTCTCAAAATATATCCATTTTTCATCGCCAGTCACAATTCGATGGAGACATGACTTTCTTT